ATTGCAGGTAGGCCACACCCCTGGGGAAACTCCCCTTAGGCAGACCGGCTGCTTAGAACTCAGTCATGTGATCCATCATGGGAACCACCACTCACAACTGGAGTCCAGCCAAGTTGACACATCTTCAACTATCACACAATCTAAAACACAACTGAAAGGCTCTCTACTCACCAGGAGCCAAACAGTAAGAAGGTAACCAAAAGCTCAGAGAAGAAACAAGTCTACAAGGGCCATAACCTCATCTACCCAGAGACAAGAAAAACTAGATGTGCCCGGCTACTCCACCGACCGTTCTGACTGGAGTCACAATAGATAGTCTAAGACCAAATGGGAGAAAAATGTGGAGCAGAACTCAATTTTTTTTTTTTTTTAAAAGCCAGACAAAAAGTAGAACAGTAGAGAACAGAGGACTCACTGAGACAATGGCCCTGAGACACTCTTGAAACATAAAACTGAGTCTATCCTGTGATCACCTTTTAGCAAAGCAGCAGAGTGGCATAAAAAACAAAGGATATTACCTGTAAGATTGATTCTCTACTTAAAAATCATCTGTATGAAACCAAAAGGTCAACAATTACTCAAAAGCAAAGATGAGAAGACAAAGGGGCAGGGAAACTAGAGTCCTGGAAATGGAGCAAACAAAATACAATTAAAGAGAATGCCAACATATTGTGATAAATGTAACTGTCACTGAATAATTTGTACAGTAATTGTCAAATGGGAGCCTAACTTGCTGGGTAAACCAAAAACTCAGTACTATTTAAAATAAAATAAAGTGTATAAAATAACAAAATATAAGGCCAATTGGGTCAGAACGTGCAAAGTCTTGAACACCAAGAATAGCTGTGTTGTACTTATTCCACAGGCAATGGGGGCGCTGATGAAAGTTTGTAAGGCAAAACATGAAGTAACCAAAGACTGAAAAGAATTTAGCTAAGTGTCAAACAAAAGCAACCACTAACCAGTGGAAATGAGGGGCTTCGAGGCAACTTCCCAGACTCCAACTGATACATACGGAGATAGACTTCAACCTGAGGTGTAGCATCACTGACAAAGCGAATGACTTGTAGGGCGTGAAGGATATCAGAGTACTGTTCCTTGCGATATGTCATCACCTGAGCATGGGAGTCATGGTGTGGAGGCAGGATCCCTATATGTACACCAGAAAAAAGAAGAGGGCAAAATCACTGAGATACCAAGCCAAATCCCTCCTCCTACAAATAGAAGGAACCTGTTACAATTAGACTAGAACTTGTACAGATATTTAATTTCCATATAAACTCTCTCTTAGGAAATTCTCATGATAAAACAATCCTAAATTTTTAAATATTATCAGTATTTGAATGACAATTAAATTATTGATATTAAAGAGAAATGAAGTAACGTCACGAAAATGAAATGACATCACAAAAGCCCTTGAGTATGTGTACCAGATAAATTCAAGATGATAACCACAGCAATTTTAAAAATTATTTCATTCAATTATGGCTGCAAGGTGAGGACTGCTCGTAGCTCAGAGGCCTCCCTCTAGTTTTTGCACATGGCAACTACATCTCAGAACCAGCAACACATGTCAAATCCTTCTTTTGCATAACAATTATAACTTGCTCACAAAGTATCCTATCTTCAGGACAACAGCATTTCCTATTGTTCACGGATAAGTCACCTTCTATTAAATTTCTACGAAATTTTGTGCTCGTTAACATATCTAAATGAGCACAGTGGTGGTACAGTGGCAGAACTCTCACCTTCCATGTGGGAAACCTGGGTTGGATTCCCAGCCGATGTACCTTCTGCACAATCACCACTAGTCTATCAGTGGAGATTTGCTGGTGACTGTAACGCAACTCCCTGTGTGTCAGAGTAGGAACTGTGCTCCATGGGGTTTTCAATGGTTGATGGGGGGGGGGGTAGTAGATCACCAGGCCTTTCTTCCAAGGTGCTTCTGAGTAGACTCAAACTGCCAATTTTTTGGTTAGCAGCCCAACATGTTAACCCTTCGCACCACCTAGGGTTTTGTTTCCTCCAACAGCACTCATGAGGAAATCAGTAGTTGAGAATCAGAGTACAACAAATTTAGAGCAAAAATCTAGGAATTAATTTAGTTCAATATTCTCATTTTACAGATGTTGAAAAAATGAGGTCCCAAGGGGTCTTCTCAAGGCTACACTGTTGGCAACAAAGTTCTTTCTAGACCAGTTCTTTCTCTCCCAGTCCAAATGCTCTTTCTACATCTTGTCTGGGAACACATTTTACTTAGTCTTACTTCATGAATAAATGGACACTTCAGAGTAATATTTAATGTCCTGCTGCTAAAGTCATCTTCTTACAGGCTTTCACAGCAAACAGTAATTGACTCTCCTGAGTAAGGGGCAAAACCAATCCTTGTTCTAACTGATATGATGATAAACAATCCCATCCTTCAATAATCTTACGATAAATCTCCCACTCTTAGATTACATACCAAGAAGAACCTTCCATACCAATGCGCGGTACATGGACGGGAGGGGGAACCTCTGACTAAAAGTACACAGTTTCTCAGTATCTAGAGGAAGAGAAACATAGTTAGTTTTTCATTCTGATCACAATATATAAAAGTGCACTTTGTTTCTTATAACAGAAAGGAGAGTAAGACATTTCTTTGAGGAAAGTCTACCAAATGGTCAGGTAAATGTAGGAAAGGTAACACTGATCTGATTTCTGGCCCAGGCCTTCCACCAACTAACTACTAAAAAATAAAGAGCAGCCATAACATGGGTGAGCCCTGAAAACATGTTGAGTGAAATCAGTCACAAAAGGACAAATACTGTAGGACCTCACTTACATAAAACAAGCAAATATACAGAAAACAAAGCTTATTAGTGGTCAGCAGGGGTGGGAGGGAGGAAAAAACGGGGAGTTACTGTTTAAGGGGCACAGAGTTTATGCTAATGTTGGTGGAATAATTCAAAAAGGAAAGTGAGAATGGTTGTACAACATGAAGAATGTAATCAATGTCTCTAAAATATACATGTAGAAATTGTTGAATAGGCAAATTTTGTTATTCATATTGGTACAATTTAAAAATATTAGCGTTTTACAGCATAGAAGATGCATATATTAATGCATTCCTTATCACATTACCAGTAGTTACTATTTGTAGAATTGTAGAATTTCTTTCACTCAATCGACATTACAAGACTGTTGTGTTGTTATCATTTTAAAGAGGAGAAAACTGAAGCTCAAAGTAGCTAAGTGACTTGACCCAGTTAACATGGCCAGTGAGTGTCATACTCAGGCCTCACATCCCCCATTTTCTGATCAGCCACACTCAATCTGTCTGTACCTCAAATCCCTACTTGTCAAATGAGAATAATAATCTTAGGCATATTTAAAGCACAGACCACTTAGAGAGGATCAAATCTTTTGGATTATAAGAACTCTGTTTGAAACTTAAAAAGTACTCTGTGCATATTAAGCATTATTTTAAGTAAGGTTCAGTGTATGTCACTTTGGTCAACAACAGAATAGGCCTTATTATTGTTAGTATTAAAGAAACTGAAATGTCAATACATAATGCAGTCTTAGTATTTCCATAAAAGAAAATCATGGCCAGAGTGGTTGCAAATCTACCCAAAGCTATGATGACATATTTGAAAACTGAGGAAAGAATATATGCAGGTCTAGTAAGAGGAAAAAATTGTTGCTTTCTTACAAGGCGTTTCAAAAACTTCTCCCTCAATAAAGCACAGATTTGAAAAATCTGTAACTTCTCTTAAAACATACAATTCCACTGTCATTCTATTACTTAAAAAACACAGCATGTGACAAATACCTCTGGATGACTCTAAAGGTAACACTTATTTCAAACACCTGGGGATGACTGACAACCATAAGCTTAATTTAACTTGCAACTCACCCAGACGATCATCTTTGAGGAGGATTTCTAGTGATTTCTTTTCTTCAACTCCACGAAACCCTACTTTCTCATAATATACTGAACGAAAGTTTCTCTGAGATTCCTCAGTCATGTTTCATTCTTGGAAGAAAGAGAGGGCAGAGAAAGGGGGAGGGGGGGAAGTGAGTTTAGAATGAAGTATTAGAAATTTTTCAATGATTTTCTCTACCTTTTCAAAAAAACTGGTATACTCTTGTAAACTTCCTGCCCTTGAATAAAACAAAATAACAACCCCACTGCCATTGAGTTGATTCTGCTTGAAGTGACCCTACAGGACAGAGCAGAACTGCCCCATAGGGTTCCCAAGGCTATATATCTTGACAGAAGCAGACTGCCTCATCTTTCTCCCATAGAGCAACTGGTGAGTTTGAACCACCAACCGTTCTATTAGCAGCCTAGTGCTTTAACCACTGTGCCACCAGGTCTCCTGCCCTTGCACAAGACTTAATATTAAATCTTTCCTTTGGTACAATTTTAACACCACTCAGAGTCCCTGGGTGGCTCTCACAGTTAAGTGCTCAACTACTAGCCTAAAGGTTGATGGTTCAAACTTACCCAGAGGTGCCTCACAATAAAGCCCTGGTGATTTGCTTCCAAAAGGTAAGAGCCTTCAAAACCTTCTGGGGTAGTTCTACTTTGCACACATGGGGTTGCCATGAGTCGGAATCATCTTGACGGCAACTAAAAACAACACCATCACACCTGTGCACCTTGACCAAAAACCAAAACATTAATCACAAATTCCCTGAGCTGCTAAAATAGCACAAAGTTCATCCAGCAGGCCTCCTATTTCACTTATAAGAACACCTAATACAGTGGAGCTGACTCGACGGCACATAACAACAACAACAACAACAAATACAGTGGAATAGTCTCTCATCATTACAGATGTTAAAAAAAAGAAAAACAAAACTAGTGAAATGGGACAAGATCTATCATACAAAAAAGATTACTTGACAGTATATAATTATTCCATTTTTTGTTTTTACAAATACAATGCATTAAAAAATTAGAACCCACCAGCCACTCCTTGAAAGGAAGATTGGACAATCTACTTCTGTAGTGATATTGCCTTGGAAATCCAAAGGGGAGTTGTTGTAAATTGAATCCCACTGGAAGGAAGTGAGTATAGGTTTTTTTGACATATTTCAAAATGTTCCAATGGTTATCTCTAGTAGTGGGATTGCAGATGATTTTAATTCTGTCTTCCGCTTAGCTTAACTGGACATCTTGTAAAAATGAAAATTTAAGTTATAAAAAAGTAAAAACCTATAATTTTCTGAATGAACATTTTTTCTCACGTACAATGCTACCCAGCTTAACTACCGATTAAGTTTAAAAGTAGACTAAGCACATTTCAGATAAGGTAGTTTTTTTTTTTTTTTTTTACTTTAAATACAATTCTATCAAATTATAAAATTTCAGAACCCACAAGATACTAACAGCCTTATAAACCAGAAGAGGGGCTGCTCTCTCTGTATAGGAGTGCAGACCGCTGTGACAAGGAATGCCACTGCCACAATTAGGGGCAGAAAAACGATTTAAAATCTGACACAACTCAAAAATAAGTGGTCTCAAGTTTTAACACAATGATCTTCAAAATACTGGTGCTAAATCATTAAAGAAAACGTCTAAGTAGGTTGGTGTTTTAAGAACAGAAAGGATGGAATGCATTTTCTAAAAAGTGCTGCACTGCCCCACACAAATATTTAAAATGTCGACGCAAAAAAAAAAAAAAGGGTAAATCCTCAGGTATTAAAAACCCTGACATACCCAGATGACCAGGGGAGGTAGAGTTCCTGACAGCCAAGATCTTCTCTATTGAAAAGATATTCTCTGAGCCGACTCAGTCACAGATTAAGTTTCGTTTAAAAAGAGAAACACTACGGAGATATGACCTTTCAAAACCAGATGTTAAAAAAAAAAAAAAAGAAAGAAAACTAAAATCCAAAGTATAAGAAACGCAAAATGTGTCCAGGGGTTTATTTAAGAGGAGGATGCACGGCGATACGGTCCAACTCTCAGAATGTATTTATAACGGTAAACGCGTTCTCTAGGAGGGAATATTGCGATTTATAAATCTTGTCCATGCACGGACAACTGATGGGAACATAGAAACACCCGGTCCTAGACCCTAGGTCCCACTCTCCCTGTCATCCATTCACCTGTACAGGAAACCACTCTCGAGTTGACTTATGTGGTCCGGGAGGCCCGGTGTTCTGACCGGCCGGGTGAGCAGGCGGGCGCAACCGGGGCCGCACCAAGCGAGGGACCAAGCGCGCCAGGGATGAGCTTTACAAGGCGGCGGGGGCATAGAAATGCGGCGGGACAGATGCGCTCGCCGCGGGCACAGGACCCCGGCGCCGGCGCCACCGCCGCCGCCGCCGCCGCTGCCGCCGCCAACGGACGTGACGTTGGCGCTAAGTAGGGCAGTACCGAACGGCAAGTGCGGAGAGCGCACGCGCAAGAAACTCCACTTCCTACAAGCACGTTCTGGGAGGAGGGAAGTTTCAGCAGGCAGTGAAGACGCCTGTGTGTAGTCTCCTGTTTTGCGTCTTCAAGCATTCCAGCGAGTTTCTCCAAGCACCCAGATTCAGACACCGAATTCCGGATTCCCCCGACCCATTCTGAGTCCCGAAGGTCTTAGGACCACTTTAACATTGCAGTCTGGGTGTTGCTTGCCTGGTATGCTGTTCCATCCCTGGCCCCGGGTTCCCTGCTTAGAGGAGACCCTGGGGCCTTGGGGCAGTATTTCTTAAGCTGTCTGCTGTAAAGGGCCTGTTTTTTCTTTTTCTTTACCCAGTTTTGCGGGAATAGGGTAAAATACAGTAAGAATGAACCTGAAAAATTCCTAAAGATACAGTAAATATAAGCCCCAATGTTTGTTTATTATTAGAGTTAGTGAAGTTACTCTGAAATGATTACTGATGTTTATAAGCACTTTCAGTTTTTGTTCTGTTCTTGTCACCGCCAGCGCTAAGCAATTCACAAATAAGCACTGGTCTGAGCTACCATTCTTAGCAGCACTACCCTAGTGGATTTTTTTTTTTTTTCCTTCCCCAAACTCTGGTGGCCTAGTGCCTAAGGCATTTGACTGCTAACCACAAGATTGGTGGTTCAAACCCACCAGCCACTCTGCGCAAGGAAAACTGGTCAATCTACTTCCCTAAAGATTTACTGCCTCGGAAACTGAAAGGGGGTCACTATGAGTCAGAATCAACTCAACGGCAGTGAGTCTGGTTTTTTTTTTTTAATTGTGATTTGAGTGCAGTTTTACAAAGCGATACATTTCAGGTTCAGCGGTTCATACACATTGTTTCACAACACCAATTACAATCCCCACAATGTAACAGCTCTCCTCCCACCTTCTTGTGGCCACCCTTTCCCTGTGTGCTTCTACCTATGCATTCATACCTGCTCTAGGAAAACCCCTAGAGTAAGTTCAGAAACCAAACTCACTGCTGTCCAGTTGAATCCAACTCCATAGCAAGCCCTCCTTGGGTTTCCGAGGCAGCATCACTACTGTTGTTGTTGTTGTTATGTGCCATCGAGTCAGCCCCGACTCATAGCGACCCCTCCTTGGGTTTCCAAGGCAGTGTCACTTCAGAAGTAGGATTGCCCAACCTTCCTTCCGAGGAGTGGCTGGTGGGTTTGAACCGCCAGCCTTCTGGTTAGCAGTCAAGTGCCTTAGGCACTATGCTACCAGAGCATCACTACTAGTGGTGTTGTTATGTGCCGTCAAGTTGGACCTGACTCATAGCGACCCCTCCTTAGGTTTCCAAGGCGGTATCACTACAAAAGTAGATTGCCCAACCTTCCTTCTGAGGAGTGGCTGGTGGGTTTGAACCGCCAGCCTTCTGGTTAGCAGTCAAGTGCCTTAGGCACTACAGCTACCAGAGCTCCTATCACTAATAATAAGTAGCCCAATCTTCCTTCTGAGAAGTGGCTGATGGGTTTGAACCATCAGCTTTCCTGGTTAGCAGTCAAATGCCTTAGGCACTATGCCACCAGAATAAGTTCAGTGATGAGTAAAAACAAACACAAACAAAATCTGTTGTTGCTTGTTGAGTCTATTCCAGTTCATGGCAACCCCATGTGTTAGAATATAACTGCTGCATAGACTTTTCTAAAGGAAGTGGGAAGCCAGGGCTGATGGCTGGAACAGGTAGAGGGAAGATCAGGAAGGGGGCAGAGAGGTTTGGAACAGCTAAGGGAGATGAACTTGTCTGTTAATTTTTCATACTGTGATGGCTTGCATTGCTGTGAGGCTGGAGGCTGTGCCACTGGTGTTTCAGACGCCAGCAGGGTTGCCCGTAGTGAACAGGTTTCAGCGGAACTTCCAGACTGAGACAGACTCAAAAGTAGGAAGAGTCCATCCACTTCTCAAAGAATTGGCCAGGGAAAACCTTGTGAATAGCAGAGAAGCACTGTCTGATACATTACTGGACAACTTCATGAATAGCCCTGTAACATTGTCTGATACAATGCCGGAAGATGAGACCCTCAGGTCGGAAGGCATTCAAAATACAACTGGGAAAGAGCTGCCTCATCAGAGTAGCACCAAGTTTAATGATATGGATAAAGTAAAGCTTTCAGGACCTCCATTTGCTGACGTGGCACAGCTCAAACTGAAGAGAAACAGCTACAAGCAACCATTAATACTTGGAACATGTAACATATGAAGTATGAATCTAGGAAAATTGGAAGTTGTCAAAAATGAAATGGAACACATAAAGATTGATATTTTAGGAATTAGTCAGCTGAAATGGACCAGTTTTGGCCATTTTGAATCAGATAACCATATGATCTACTATCTGGGAATGACAAAGAGGAATGGTGTGACATTTGTAATCACAAAGAATGTTTCAAGATCTATCCTGAAGTACAATGCTGTCAGTGATAGGATAATATCCATATGCCTACAAGGAACACCGGTTAGTACTACTATTACTCAAATTTTCTCACCAACCACCAAAGCCAAAGATGAAAAAATTGAAGATTTTTACCAACTACTGAAGTCTGAAAATGACTGCACATGCAATCAAGATGTGCTGATTATCACTGGTGATTGAAATGCAAAAGT